ACTGAGTAAGAGGCACGGGCCACTCGGTAGGAAAAATACAAATGAATGAGTCCTATTCAGGTCAATATCACCATGTTCACCTTTTTTATTCTTCTTGTTCTTTCTTTTTGACTAGAATGAGAATGTTCTCGTGGTTATTTAATTGGCAGTTCAGATAAGTTGAAATGGTAATAAAGGTAAATTATAAATTTATATGTTTTAGGTTTAATTTTTGATAATTTTTTTGAATTAGACTATGAGAAATTTATCATTTATAAATATTTTAACCTCATCGTAGATGACCTATTTTTGATTGAATCAAAAAAAAAATTAGTCAATATACAAATAAACTAACACAAACTCCTTTAGACCGTTCAACTAAAAAAAAATGTGGTGATAAGTGTATCCCTTGGTATACCCCCGGTCCAGCAAGGTGATAGCTCAGGATAGGATAATGGCAATTAATGTGGTGGGAGTAATTTATATAGTACTTTAAAATACCACCATACATGAAAAATATATTTTTTTTACCTTTGTCCTTTAACACTACAACTATGTCATCCTTATCCTTAAGAATTAATGTCACACTAAACCTAAAAATCAATATTAATTACTTTCCATTACTTCACAATCGTTATCCTTTCTCTCTTTCTCCTTGTTTCCTCTATCACACTCGTTCTCTTTTTCCTGCCAATTCATAGACCGTTCAACAACAAACTGTCCCTCTTCACCTTCTTCTATCTCTCTCTCTCCAGGGCCGGCCCAACAGTGTAGTCAAAAAAGCAGGGGCTTTAGCCCCGAATAAGAAAGAAGGCCCCATATTTTCTAATATATAGTGCAATTGAGCCCAAATTTTTAAAAATTTAACAACATAAATTTCACAAAAATCCTCAATAAAATGTACACTAAACAACTAAATTTTAGATTTCATAGTTAAGCCCAAAAATACAGTCCACAGTTTGTTACAACTGTCAAAACTCAATGCAGTAAAACAAAAAATGTAAAAGCAAAACCCTCCTCCTCTCTCTCTCACACACACACACATTCACACTCTTACATCTTCAATTAAACACAAACAAAACTCAATCTCTCTCTCACACACATGCAACTTTTTATTTTAAATCATACACCAAACCAAACTCACATAATATAAACCACTTATTTTACATACTTTGATCAACAAAGAAATAAAATATCAAATTTTAATGTTGTAAATAACCGTAACAAATCAAACCGTATTTTTTATATTTTTTTTATAATTTTAAGCTAATGATATATTATGTAATTATAGATACTATATGATTATTTAGAAATAATTTGTTGATTATGTATTATAAATATAGAATTAGAAAATAATCATTTGGATATGAAATTTTTTTCTTAAAAATAAAAATTTTAAAATAATTGAATCTCAAAATGATCTATTTATTCCTACTACTAAACAAAACGTCATAGAAAAATAGGTTAAAGTCCTACAAACAAAACAATTAATAGATCCCAAAGAATAAGAAATAATAAAATAATACAACAAAATAATAAAAAAAAAATTCACTATGAGAATTAAACATGCAAAACAACTATCTTGGATGCAAAATATACAAAAAAAAAATGAAAAAATATTAGTAACGAAAATTTTAAAATTAACAAAATCTTATTAATGTCGATAATATCACAAAAAAGAATAGGGGNAATGAAAAAATATTAGTAACGAAAATTTTAAAATTAACAAAATCTTATTAATGTCGATAATATCACAAAAAAGAATAGGGGAATGAACAATACAAACAATTAAAAAAAAGTCTCATTTATACATGTCGCTTTAGGCCTAAAATTTTCTTGAGCCGCCCCTGTCTCTCTCTTCCTCTCACTGCGTATTCACATATCGGCCAAGAGCACACCGTCATGCCTCCTGTTCACCATCCCCTTCTTCGTGTCTCTCCCCATTTCCTTAATTACATATTTCAGTTCACGGCTGGTTGAATATGTTTCTTGTCCTTTGTAGTTTTATGTTTTTTAAGTGCAGTTATGCAGATTGATGCGTGGAGTATTCAATTTCGGGTTATTTCTTTGTGGTGCAGTGAGGTATGTGTGTTGCCCATTACCATTTTCCAAAAGGAGAGGTATTTAATAATTCACCTATTACCCTTCTTCAAAATTCTCAAAATACCTAAAAAGCGATAATTTGATCACATAGAAAAAAAAATCAAATAGAAAATGTTGCTCATTGAACAATCATCACAAACACGCCAAATGGTTTCACCCAATAGGCTCGTTACAGCAAGAATAATCAATTAAACGAAGTTCTGGGTGTTGAGCAGTCGTTTGGCGGTGGCTATCGTGTGGCTTTGCCTCGCGAAAGAGGGCAGCGATGGAACTCTAGATGTGAGAGAGAATTGGGCGTGAGAGATAGGGGATTCGGAATTGAGATTGACAAAAGATTTGAGATAGCATATAGAGAGGCAGAAATGAGATTGCGATGGATTCCATGAAAAAGATTTTAGATATGAGTTTGAAAGACAGGGATTCTGGAGGAGAGAGAGAGGTGTGAGTCAGGAAACTTGGGCTTGATTAGTGGCAATAAAGGGATGAAGAAGAGGAAGAGAGATTTAGAGAAAGTTAAAAGATCTGATAATTAAAAAAGAAAACGTGATCAGTATTTATAAGATAATTCAAATCGTCTTTTGTGTTGGGATTACGTTGTCTGTTGGATGTGTTTATATTTTATCTCAAAACAATCTGAACCTCTTTTTATCTCTAAAATTCAAACTCAACTCTACTTTATTATATAGATAAAACATATGATAATAACTTATCGTTAAGCTGATAATAAAGTGGTGGATGTCACTGGTCATTCAGCTTATTTACATTTGAAGATTTGTTCTTATAGATAGGAGGACCATTTATAGAGAATTGGACCGGAAAAAATAGAGACTATTTCTACATGCAAGGTCAGATTCAACAAAGAGCTTCCGGATGTTGATATCTCCGATTAAGAGATTTTTTAAAAAATACGAGGTTTTGTTTCTAGCGACAACATGCAAGGGTGGTGGCCCTGTTTATGGAGTCAAAATAATGCGTTCTAAAAAAAATATTTGAATATCAATCTCACAAATATCACACTAATATAGGAATACACTTATTTTTTTAGTTACACAATAAATCATAAATTATGCACTTCACGCGTGATCTTTTTTTGAAGGAACAATGGTCTTTGCTTTTTCAGCTATTGTCAGCATGCCTAAAGATTTAGAACAGGACAATATTTTTACCCCTAGTTAAGAAGAAAAAAAAATTTAATTTTTAAAAAAATATATATCTATATAAATACATATTTTATTATTGTATTTTTATATAAAACTAATGTATACATAATATATAGACAAATAAGATATATTTCAACACAAATAATTAACTTTTTATCCACTTTCTTTCCGATTTTGGAGTGATTGATTTTGGTGAGTTAGAAAGAAAATTAATCGATCCATTTTTTTATTTTTCCTATTTTTCTTCCTTACCAAATATAATATTTTATTTATCCATCCAATTTTTAATTTTTCTATTTTTTCATCGTATCAAATAGAACATAAGACTTATTTTTATTTCAAAAGGATAAAGTTCACTGACACCCAGTGAAAAATAGTTTAATAATAAGAAAAAAAATTTATAGTTTCTGAATTATCACTATCATTCCCTGTCATATTTTGTCTTTTAACAGCTGTAACGAAAAATAATAAATGACACTACTACCCCTTACAAAATATTCTTTTCTTTGTCCTATACTGATTATTTAATTTGACCTTAGATTAAATTTTTATTTGACCAATATTAAAATAATTTAATCATAATTAAATAACTCTTATTTTTTATATACACACACATAGACATATATATATTATATAATAACAAAATACATCAATTATATATACAAAATATAATTCGCTCTATCAATTACAACCCATTGTATATTCGGGCTGAGTCGGGTTAGCAGAAAAGAAACCGAGGCAGCAGGCAGTTCCCTTTTTTTTTTTTTTGGTTTTTTTGAACAATGCAGACAGTTCCTGAGTTGCACGAAATATCGAAAAGTAGGGGTGCTGGGCCGAGCCTACCCACCATGTTGTCAACAGACCATGGCGGGTCACTGTCGGGCTGTCAGTTGGGCTAGCCTTAGTGGGCCTTTAACGAGGAAACCTTCTTACAAGGCATCATGGACCTATATGGGTAGGCCATGGGCTTACTAGATGGACCATAAACGGTCCAAACTATCGTGCATAACGGGCCGCAAACAACCATGACCCTGACAGGTGGCTTAACAAGCTCCACGTGGGGCTGGTTACGGGCTTACTTGATAGGTCATTAACTGGTCAGACTAGCGTGCATTACAGACTATCCACATGACCACGATCATGAGCCATAGCTTAATGACCCTCCACATGGGCTTTCAAAGTCTGGGTTGGGCCAGACCATGATCCACTGGGTCATTAGGTAAATGGGCCAACCCTTGGGACACTGCCAAGCCTATCCACAACCAGAAGCTATAAATTAAGGGGGACACGTCTCATCTTGTAGCTAGCTCTGAACACCACACTCTTGTGTACACGACAAGAGAGAGAGAGGGAGAGAGAGAGAGAGAGAGACTAGACCCCGGAGAGAGAAATGACTGCTCTATTTTCTCTGTACCATGCCCCGTCTGCGTCATTTCCTTCTTCTTCTTTCGGCACTCCACTGAGTACTCTGAAACATCTATCTTCCTTTCCAAGAATCAAAAGAACCCTCCAGTTCAAGAGAACACTCTTTATAAACTCTCTTCTCTCAGCTGAGAGTGACCCATCAGTACCACCGCAGGTCCAGACCTTCTGGCAATGGCTCCGGGAAGAAGGAGTGGTCTCCTCTAAGACTCCGGTGAGACCAGGTGTCGTACCGGAAGGTTTAGGATTGGTTACCCAGAGAGATATTGCTAAAACGGAGGTCGTTTTGGAGGTGCCCAAGAGGCTTTGGATCAACCTAGATACAGTCTCAGATTCAGAGATTGGGTATGTGTGTGGTGAATTGAAGCCTTGGGTCTCTGTTGCTCTGTTTTTAATCAGAGAGAAGCTGGGGGAAGACTCCCAATGGCGACATTATATAGACATTCTTCCAGAGTATACCAATTCTACTATATATTGGTGTGTCTGGCTTAATTTTTTTAATATGATTTTTTTTTCTTTTCTGTTAAGTTGCTATTGCATTTTCTTACAAATTGGTTGCTTGGTAACTTGGGTTTTGCTGTTTTGAGATGGACTTGAAGTTTTGGTGTTGATGATGTGTTGTTTGATTGCTCTTCCAGTGCAGGTCAGAAGAGGAGCTTTCCGAGATTCAAGGTTAGTGTAGTTTATTACTTAGACATGTTGTTACACAGAGAATATGGCTGAAAATTTTATAGGGCTCCTATGTTTTAATGATCTTCAAAATTGTATTGATTTAATTGAAGGGAACTAACTATTAGCTTAGCTAGCATTCCGGGGGAATCTACTCGTTTAGTATTCTATGATCACGCCCAGACAGGGATTCTACCCCGGTTGGCCCCTTGAACCCTTTTCACTTATCAAGAAAAAATTGGCATGATTATTTATCTGAGGTTCTGTGATTGGCTGACTGGGTTCAAATAATGGAGATTGCTAATCCTTTATTTATTATGGCTGGCTTCATCCTTGACGTAATAGTGGGAAATAACCTCAATTTTTAGCATGTTTCCTGATGTTGATGTGAATTTACTGCTGCAAATAAGCAAGTTGATTTGAATGCATTTTGTTGGCTGGGGGGTTTTTGCTTTGTGATATACCAAAACTCTATATCTAATTTTAAAGATTAAAGATATGGCACACACTCCCTTGGATGCATGAGGTTATTGGGCAGTGTCGAAAATCTTCGAATTTGGTTGTGATGTTTTCCTTATTACCATGATGGATCTGTTAATAGCTTGTTCACGCTAGCTACAAATTGTGGTCTACAATTCTTTTAGTAAAGACATTTATGCTTTGGTAAATTTTCATCTCATACACTCCTATGAGCTAATTGGGATAACAACTTTATCTGATTGAACTTCTTGCTTCACCCTAAGTCCAATAAGTTATTCAAAATACAATGAAAGGCCTATAGGAAAAACCAAACTTTTGTCTTAGTAGTTCAGTGATTGTTTCCGATCATCCTCAATTTCTATTTTTTATTTCCTTCATGGTTATCCACTAGCAAAAGCATAACTAGTTAGATTTTGCAGGAACCCAACTACTGAGCACAACATTGGATGTGAAAAAATATGTTCAGAGTGAATTTCTGAAAGTGAAAAAAGAAGTCATACTTCCTAACTGGCAGCTTTTCCCTTTTCCTATTTCATTGGATGACTTCTTTTGGGCATTTGGGATAATCAGATCAAGGGCATTTTCCCGTCTTCGTGGTCAAAGTCTTGTTTTGATCCCACTTGTGGACTTGGTAAGGTGTTATGTCCAACTTCAAATTGGATTTCTATGGCAGCGACTCTGTCATTGGATTTTTGGTTAAATGAATAGCACACAGACAGAGGATAGACAATCTCGAGCAATATGGTTTTACATGGTGTCAATACACCCTAAGCTGTTTATAATGAATATAATGAAGTGCCAATGCTGATACTATTCTTACTGTAAAACTCGTTAAGTCTAAATTGCAGACCTTCTGGACTTCACCCGACTTTATTTTCAAATTCAAACACTAGCAGGACACTAGAGGTCATATGTCCTTGAACCTACCATCTACTGCAAAGATCGGTCCCTATACCTGCATTAGACATTCTATTACTCATGTAAACTAAAAAATTTTGCTGTCCTAACTCAAATAAATTAATTAATTAATACCAAAAATTATGCAATAGAATCCAGCTGTTCAGCAGTTACACGACAAATTTTCCGTTATACTGTACTGAGGCTACACAATTTTTGTTGTCATGTGATAGATAAGTGGGGAAGCAGGGAAGATTCAAATAAGTTTCTTTCTTAGGAGCATGTATTTGGCCGGCCCTTCACACTAAGACTGTATTCACCATTGAAGTTCATCAATGCCTGCGCTACGCAGTGCCTTTAGTTGTAGGATGTGATTTTGCCAACCTCGACATTAAATTGCTTAAAAAATTTCACTTTCTTTGACATGGTTTATGGATCAGATCAATCACAGCCACACCGTAACCACAGAAGATCATGCCCATGAGATTCCAGGACCAGCAGGTCTTTTCTCCTGGGATCTCCTGTTTTCTTTACGGAGCCCAGCACCAGTCAAGGCTGGTGAGCAGGTGAGGTTTATTGGTCATATCTGAATCTTCTTTCTGATTTTAATTATATTTCGAGCTTCATATTTCACTCAACTCAACAACACCTTAATCTCCATTATTTTGGGTTGGCTAAGTACCAAGTATTTAATGAACATGTTAAACTTGAAATCGATTATACTGAAGGACACATACTATATTGTTGAAGAAATAAGATAAAAGGGAAAATGATGTATCAAACACTACACAACATTGAAATGTTTAAAAGCATAAATAAAAATGTGTAGACAGAATTAGTGATAAGAGTTCAAGACTATCTTTGCACTTATTTCAGGCTTGAGGTGTTACATTTCATGTACCATTTTAATTCCGAAGGAATCTGAAAAACCCTGCCTCATTAACACCTATAATTTCCACTTATTAGCCTTATGAACTTTATCTTAAAGGGCTCCAGTTCAAGTGAATGAGTTTTAGTTTTATAACTCTTGATTACATGACAGCATCAGGATTTTGGCAGGTATTTATCCAATACAATTTGAAAAAGAGCAATGCTGAGTTCGTTTTGGACTATGGATTTGTAGATTTAATGCCAAACCGCGATAAATATATGCTAACATTAAAAATATCTGAGTCAGACCCATATTTTGGGGACAAGCTGGACATTGCGGAGTCTAATGATCTGGGACAAACTGCCTGCTTCGATATCATATTGGATCGTCCTCTTCCACCAACAATGTTTCCTTATCTGCGCCTCATAGCTCTTGGGGGATCAGATGCTTTCCTTCTGGAATCATCTTTCACAGACTCTGTTTGGCACCACCTTGAATTGCCTGTTAGTCGCGCCAACGAGGAGCTCCTCTGTCGAAGCGTTCAGCACGTGTGCAAATCCGCACTTTCTGGTTATCATACCACCCTCGAAGAGGTAACTATTCATCCTTGTTCACATTGCTTCTAAGGATTCATTGTTCTGCAATGTCATCACTCCTTGCTATACTGCCTATGGATATAAATAGAGATCTGTTACACTAAATTTACACATCCTCTGGACTCAAAATAATGAATAATGAGCATCACTTAAATGATCCAGTTTAAGCTGCATACTAATCTTCCTGGTAGAACCCCTGAGGTTGCATTTGTTTTCTTTTCTTTGTTTCTGTTGATATCATGTTGTCTAATTGTTTATTCATTTTTTTCCATTATCTTACAAGTTTACTGTATTTACAGTGATGGTATGCTTGTTTGCTTTAAATATCTGAAGTTAGAACCCGAAGATTTTGTTTCAGTAACTAGATGCTCAAAGCTTTTACTTACGAAATAATGAAGTAAATTGTAGGATGAGAAATTGAAGGAAGAAGGAAACCTCGATCCAAGGCTTGAGATAGCAGTTGGGATAAGGGCAGCGGAGAAGAAGGTGTTGCAACAAATTGAAACGATCTTTAACGAGAGGGAACTAGGATTGGATGGATTGGAATATTACCATGATAGGAGACTGAAAGAGCTTGGTCTGGTTGGGGAGCAAGGTGAAATCATCTGTCAGCCTAAGTAGGATACCATTTACTCCACATGGTTTTGTTAATGTGCGGTGATCGAGAGACAATTTCATCACAGGTCCTAAATGAACAATATGTTTGTTACTCGACCCTTTCGAGATCTCAAGGAGTGGAAAGAAGGGAACAGCTCACAAACATCTTTTCTTAATTTGTACTGCATCACCTCCACCAAGTTATACCAAGTTGAGCTTCACATGCTACAAGTAGCAGTCATAGTTTCATGGATTCTTTCAATGTTTTCCAAATTCCTATGGCTTTGAACTACTCATATGTTTCCTGCTTTCCCAGAAATTTTTCACTTTCGGGACGATTTGTTGTATGATGCACTCTCTGTAAAGTTAGCAACCAAGTTACTCTTCATTTTTTCTTTTGCATAGACAATAATAACTGATGGGTCCAGTTTAGAAATGCAAACCAGGTCCAAACCAGGTCCAGTTCAAATATATAGGTCAAGTCCACCATAGGATCAAGAAAGTTCAGTTGGGTTAACTTCGTCATTTTGAGATACTTAATTTACAACCCAACTTCATCATTTTGAGATACTTAATTTACAATTGACACACGAGAAGATCTCCATGGGACGCAATCATTAGGTGTGTTAATATTATTAAGGCTAAACAAAAATAATAATCCAACAATTACAAGAATACACAATGTAGGACCTTATATATTAGGACAACAAATTAATATAAAATGTCTAAACCTCAAATTCATGATGTGGTAGCATCAAACATCAAGAGTTTGTCAAAAAGGAAAAGGAAGCACGCGATGGTGTGAAATTTTGTAAAGAAATCTGTCAACTGCATAGTAAAAAGAACAAAAGGGAAAGATATCGTGTCCAGTTGAAGATGGTGGTATACAAAGTGACAATCAATCTCAATATGTTTTGTGCGTTCATGGAACACTGAGTTATGAGCAATCTAAATTGCACTATTTATGAAAAAAACTACACTCATCTGAAACAGCTCGATCCCGATATTTAGTCTGTGAATAAGAAGTCCCTCTGGGTGGTACAGTTAGTACAGTCTGATTAGGCAATGGAAGAAGAGTCTTTCTAGAAAGAGTCTTAAGACGAATTTCTTTAGCCAGAAGCTCATTCACTACTGCATCAACTGTGGGAAGTGGAAGACGATGTAGAATAGAACCACGAAATCCCTCAAAGTCATCTCTAAGTGCCATCAAAAACTGCCCCAAACGTTGCTCCTCCCTAAAAGTACGATGGACCATATGAGTATTCAATTCAGCAGGTTCAGCAAGTGTTAACTGATCCCAAAATTCAGTCATAACCAAGTAGAACTCTTGTATGGTCTTATCACCTTGACGTGCAACTCGAATTTCAAGCTTAAGCTGATATCTCTTTACAAAATTGGACTAAACAAATAATATAATTAAATAATTCTAAATCTCCTTAGTTGTGTTAAACTTAGTCAAATACACATCAATGGTCTGATCAACTGAGTTGTTAATCCAAGTGATAATTTTAGCATTATTAATTTCTCAGGTATTCTTTAGGTCAGCATATCTCTCTTCCTTCAAATCTGTTGGAGTTTACAATGCACCACTAACATAACTCCATATCTCTTTTTCCAACAAGAAATTCTTCATAACATAGGACCAATATACATAATTTTTACCATTTAATTTAACACTAATAGCCTAAAGAGAATCAAAATGTCCACTTGCCATAATATTAACAAGAAGAGTCGACGCTCGTAACAAAATAATACCTAAAATAAAACAAAAGACAGGATTCAGATGCACCAGTCAGAACAGGAAGCAAAAGACAGCAATCAAATGCATCAATCAGAACAAGAACCAACCAGCAGGGGCCTATTCTTATGGTGAACAGCTGTCCAAAACAGTCAAAATCCAACTAAACCAATCTAAACCAAGAACAGAAATCACCCTTCCCACAGTTGATATAAAAAGAAAACAAACCAACAAACCAATGTTTACGGTGAACAGCGAAAGGCTGAACCGAAAGAGATAAAGAACCGAACCCGAAAGAGAAGACCCAGACGGAATTCGGATTCGGACCCTTCGTCTTCAACCTCTGGACGAACACCCTACCTCTGGACGAAAGAGAAGACCCAGACGGAATTCGGATTTGAACCCTTCGTCTTCAACCTCTGGTTTTAGCGAAACCCCTAAGCCAGCAACAATCGATTCGATCAATCACAGCAAGAACTCAACTGCTACTCCAAGAAGAACGATCGATACCATGTTAAATAGTGGTCGATGAACAACGATTCCTGTCGATGAAGGGCAATATTACATAAAAAGGTAACTCCACCTCAACGGAGACTCTGACACCATGTTAATATTATTAAGACTAAACAAAAATAATAATCCAACAAATACAAGAATGCACAATGTAGGAGGCCCTTATATATTAGGACAATAAATTAATATAAAATACCTAAACTATTTATAATATAAATACTCTAACAGAGTGCACGTCGTCACCTCTACGAAAACTGTCTCATCTGTCATGAAAATAGCGTCACTTTTATCGAACTTTCACTTGTTACGAGAATGACGCACGTCATCACCTCTACGAAAACTGTCTCGTCTGTCATGAAAATAGCGTCACTTTTACCGAACTCTCACTTGTTACGAGAATGACACTTCAATTTGTTAAGAAGTGTCTATGAATTGTTCGTTCCACATACACAATAAGGTATGATTTACATATGAATATTCTACACTCTTTGAGCATTAAAATACTCAAATCACCCTAACCCTTCATAGTAGAGTAAGTCATCCTGATCGAGTTACCTAATTTGTGTTTGTTTGTGTGGAATTTCCTTCTTAATTACTGCATTAAATACTTATCAGATTTTACATAACACACATTTTGTGAATCATCAATAACAATAATTGTTTTCAAATGGATAAGTCACACAAAATGCTACATTGGCTCATGTTGAAATGGAGGGATTCATCATCCACTTGTGTTTCATGGTACTTGAAATGTGATCACTCAACCCACCCACCTAATTCGCCATTTTTTTCATGATGAGGAGCTCGAGTCATGCTCGACTTATTTTGCACCCCGAAAGATCGTTCGGATCTCAATTTACCCCTCAAAGATTAAAAATCTCAATTTACACCCTCAAAGATAGAAAATTGTATCAATGTACACCCCCAAAGATCAAAAATCTCAAATTGCACCCTCAAAGATAGAAATTTGTATCAATGTACACCCCCAAAGATCAAAAATCTCAATTTGCACCCTCAAAGATAGAAATCTGTATTAATGTGCACCTAAAACTAAATTGATAAATTATACCTAGATCCCCTCATGTTTGTCACTTAATCATTTGAATCCCTTCACATTTAGAATATTACTCCTACATCTCATGACGTTTGTACATGTGTAAACATAACCACTTTTCGTTGATATCTATTAATATAATCGTTAAAAAATATGATTTTATCCTAATAAAAAATTATAATTTCATATTACCCTTTATTTTGTGGATTCGATATACTCTAAAGTTCAAAATCAAGCTTACCATTTGAATGTCTAATAGAATGTAGATATTTATAAAAAGGAAAATATGAAAAACATTATATAAATATCTACATTTTATTAGACATTCAAATGGTAAGCTTGATTTTGAACTTTAGAGTATATTGGACCCATAAAATAAGGGTAATATGAAATTATAATTTTTTATTAGGATAAAATTATATTTTTTAACGGTTATATTAACAGATATCAATGAAAATGGGTTACATGTTGTACGTGCATAAATGTCATGAGATGTAGAAGTAATATTCTAAATGTAAAGAGGTCCAAATGATTAAGTGACAAACATGAGAGGATCTAGGTATAATTTATCAATTTAGTTTTAGGTGCATAATGATACAAATTTCTATATTTGAGAGTGCAAATTGAGATTTTTTTATCTTTGGGGTGCACATTGATATAAATTTTTATATTTGAAGGTGCAAATTGAGATTTTTGATTTTTGGGGGTGCACATTAATACAAATTTCTATTTTTGAGGGTGCAAATTGAGATTTTTGATCTTTGGGGGTGCACATTGATACAAATTTCTATCTTTGAGGGTACAAATTAAAATTTTTACTCTTTGAGGGTGTAAATTGAAATTCGAACTATCTTTCGAGGTATAAAATAAAATTAACCCAATTTAGAATGCAGATAGTAATTTTTGAATTATGGGCATTGAGACAATCATGGTGATCCAATCTAATTGATGTTTGGACTGGGGCCGGTCATAAATGAGCTGGGTTGGGCTGACTCAAGCGAATGTGCTATGGCTCCATCATTTTTAAATTATATTTACTACAACTCACAAAAATCTTGCTAGTCACAAGCATAAGTATTTTATAATTTATCCCAAACCCACTTGGGTAGATTAAGATATGTTCTTCAATATCACATAACATCTTTTTTTCTTAAGACTGAGACAAAGGATTCTTTTGGAACACAAAGAATAATTCATTCTGAATTAAGATATAAGAAATTTCGGAGTTATGAAGCGAATCAATGGAAAAACTGATTAAGGGGTCATTATCAATACGATTTATCTCAGATTAGATGGTCTAGATTAATCTCACAAAAATGGCGAAATAGAGTCAATCAATGTCGCACAGCTCAAAAGAAAGATATACCAAAAAATAAATTTTAGTTTTATAAGCTTGTTTTGATTTATTTGTAACTCTTTATCTTAAAAATTATGAAAAATAAAGAATAAGATAAAAAATAAAATAAAGGATAAATGTTATAATTAGTCTTTAAATTTTATCTTCGATTTTAATTTGATCCCTAAATTTTTAATTATTTCAATTTAATCTATTAACCATCATCTATTTTTACCGTTAGATCAATCAAAGGCTACCGCAATCTGTTTAATTTCAAGTGTTAAATCATATTTTTTTTGTTTTGATCTAATAGTAGATATGATTGAAAAGACTTCATTGAGACAAAATTAATAGTTAAAGGATTAAATTGAGATAATTAGAACTTCATGTACCAAATTAAAATTAAAGGTAAAATTTAAGGACTAATTATGATATTTATCCAAAATATAAATAAATTCATAATTTATTAGATAAAAAAAATCAATGCACATTTTTTAATAGTTGACCCCTATTTACCGTTAGGGAATTAAGTGTAGTTTACCTCATTTTTGGGCAACTCAGTGAATAAGGGACCGCCGTAGCTTTAGTCTAGCGAAAACGCTCGCGGATTGACTCTCTTCGTCGTTCGTCTTCTCTCTCCTTCTCGCCGACGGCCATCAATTCTACGCCGTCTCTCTCTATTTTCCCTCCAGCAACAAAACCAGAAATTTAGCTAGCAAAGTCTTAGAACTTATCGTGGATCAGTGTTAATCACCATGGTAAATCACAGGCACATACTCTCCGTCCTTGTGATCGTTGGCTTTTTATCAACCATAGCTCAATCAGTTCGATTCGATCTGCAATCGGGTCACACCAAGTGCATAGCCGAAGACATCAAATCCAATTCCATGACCGTCGGCAAGTACTCGATCGTCAACCCCAACGAAGGTCATCCCATGCCCGAGTCCCACAAAATCACCGTCAGGGTGAGAATTGATTGATTTTCCTTTTTTTTTTCTCGGTAACCAAACATAGGGTTTTGTTGGGTTGATTTTGTCCTTTTGAATTTTGTTTGGATAGGTAACTTCGGCGTATGGGAATAACTACCACTATGCGGACCATGTGGAATCGAGTCAGTTTGCGTTTCAAGCTGTGGAGGCTGGGGATTACATGGCTTGCTTTTGGGCAGCTGATCACAAACCTCAGACAACGGTTACGATTGATTTTGATTGGAAGTCTGGCGTGGCTGCTAAGGACTGGACCAATGTTGCCAAGAAAGGATCTGTTGAAGTAACTCTCTCTCTCTCTCTCTCTCTCTCTCGCCCAACAGAGAGTAAAGTCGATTCCTTTTTAAGGTTTTTTGGTTGTTTGGGTAGTTATTGTGTTTGGTTTGATGAGATTAAGCTTGGGTTGTTTCTAGGTACATGGAGAGAGATTAGTGATGGTTTTGTGGAATTTTCATGTGGGTTCATCTTTCACTGACTGTGCTGTGACTATGAATTTGGCTGACATGATTGTAACTTTAGGGTTGCTACAATTCAAGTATGCTATTTTTCACATTAGGGTGAAGAAAACTCATTTGTTAAGGTAGGAAATTAAGCACTTTATGAGACTAGTAGCCACTAGCCAGTATCATTTAGTAAAAAGATTAGATATACATCAGTCAAAACTCTTTGTAGAAAAGTAATGGTTCTTTACTCATCGACAAGAAACAAACTCCCAATGGTAAAGGAGATAATGAGTGAACATCTGCTATTTCACAGGAAAATTTTGGACTTGAGAAAGTAGTAGCATATATAATTGATTTCTAACATTTTCTGACTTGGATATGCCAAATTACCATGTATTCTTTTTCTTATTGACTTCCTTTAAGATGATTCAATGCAAAGGGTGCTACTGGGATCATATATTCATTTAGGACATATGACTATATGAGGAGCATGATATCTAGGTGCGTTTCAAAAGGTTTTGAATTTTGAATCAGCAAACGCGCAAAGCAATGTCTACTTATCTTGTTCCATCTAAATCAGCATTCTATGATATTGAGTTAACAGAAATCAGAGATAAGGTTAGAGAGGAAAATACAGTGAACTTCCCTAAATGGTATAATTTGGAGAATTCAGCTAGTTCATTTGTTGATATCCAGCCCAATGATGGAAAATCATAACCTGTGGATTTTAAGTTCAATAATCTGACTGCTTTGGTTTCATTTGCATTGTTCTGGCCGTTTAAATACTCAACTGCCTCTAATTTATGAGGCTGTATTTGGTGTTAGCAGACTAACTTTTGGAAATGGTGCAGATTGGCATGGGGTTTCAGTTCAGATTAGCATTTTATTTAGTCCATGGTGTATTGATGTCACAATGACCTGGACAGTTGCTTGCTTATTCTAGATTCTGAGATGTAATGAAGTCCCTTGACCTGATGTTATATCTTAAGCTTAGGTTAAATGCTTGCTTCCAAGTTTATGTGTAGCTTCCATCTTTATGAATTTGTTTACCCATGAACAATTGGCTTTCTACATAATGGTATTCTCAATAGCTTGAACTTGGTTTTGTTGGTCTTGCTTGTTACATTGGTTGTACATGAATTTATTTGCAGATAAGAGGAGGTTATAGATATGAATTATGAAACATGTGTATGGTCATTGTTTTGACTCCCAGGTTTTGGAATTAGAGCTGAAGAAACTGCATGAAACTGTTACATCCATTCATGATGAGATGTTTTATCTCCGAGAAAGGTTAGTGAGTAGAACTTATTCTACACATTTCTCAGTGCCTTTTTCCAAGGAACGCTATCACCTGCAGCTTATATACATGTTCAATGCCTGTTGCAGGGAACAAGAGATGCAGGAGCTTAATAGATCAACCAACTCCCGGATGGCTTGGTTGGGTTTCTTTTCACTTGCTGTTTGTTTATCAGTGGCAGGTTTGCAGTTATGGCATTTGAAGACCTTTTTTGAGAAGAAGAAGCTTATATAATTTTGTAATGGATACTATAGTTTTTTTTTTTTTTTTTT